AGACACAAGTGGGCCTTCCTGGTCAGTCCCAGCAGACAAGGCAAGGTTGAAGCATCCAAAATGCAGCACTGGACCTGTCTCTTCGAGTGGAAGAGCCACTAGAGAGCTGGGTGCAGCTGCAGACTTATGAGAGTCCAGTGTGCAGAGAACATCATCATAGCTACAGGGTCAAGCAAACAAATGCCATAGTCCAAAGCTGCAGTCTCCTAGGGGGAGGAGGCTTTAATATCGTAATGGTGGGCCCTCAGTGGTAGGAGCACTGTGAAAGCAAATCCAGGGTCTTGTCATGCTGTGAAATCCCAGCAGGCCAGCTGGCATTTGGAATAAAGGGAGTGTCTGTGTGAGCAGTGTGAATAAAAGGTGAGTGACCTAGGCAGGGGATCTAATAGAAAAGCCCAGTTATTAAAAACTGGAAAAGAAAAAGATTTAAGTGATGATAGGAGGTAGAGGGAGGGCTTAAACCTGAATCCAGTGTGGAAGTGCTTACATTCTTCTCTCCCAGAGCCATTTTTTAAATCCTTTTAAGGTTCAGGTTCTAAAGGCACAGCCCTTAGGGCCGGTATGCTTTTCCAGGTTTACCAAATTGAGAGCTGGAAAACAAAATGTCTTGGCTCTAAAATATACAGAAAACTGCAAAGTGAAATTAATATATATTTTAAGAGGAAAAGTATATGAATCTCTTTCATTTTGTATAACTGAACATTGCATTGTATTTTTGACGTGGGATATGACTGTATTTTTGTGTTTGACAGGATGTGGGATAAGGCCTCTAAAAGAATATCCAGGTATTATGCAGCCCTTTAGTTGGCCCTTCTTTAGCCTGGCATAGTTCAGGCAGGGAAGGTCAAGAGTGTGTTAGAACTTTGGCAAGGATTGGCAGGCAAGAAGAGGAAGGCAGAGAAACCCAAATCACCAAGGCCAGAAATGTGGGGGTGGGGAGAAGAGGGAGGCTTGGGGGAAGGGTGTCTGAGATAGATGCAGAGGTTGGGCTTGACCAGGAGCTGGGAGGTGCAGCGCAATGTCCCTAGAGATGGCACGGTCTGGTTTCTAATTTTGGAAATGGCCATACCAGGGTTTCCAAACTGGCAGGCAGGCTGGCAGCAAAGGGCTCTGAATAGTAGAGAGAACCATCTGGAGGCAGGTAGCCACTCAGTGTTATGGAGGGGTATGATGCAGAATTGGCAACAGCTAGACAGCAGGGCTTAGTTTCTAAAGGGGGGAAGAGGCAGAAGGGAAGTAAGGACTGAGCCAGAAAACTCATCCTTCTAAAGGAGCAGATCAGTGAAAATCAGTAAGTCAAGGAACACTGGGGCACAGAGGTTCCAAGGCTCCCAGGTTCACTTAGTGTGATTGGCTACTGGGTAATCCCAGGAACACTGACAGAGCTCAACCAATGGGACCTCCAGGACTTCTAGATTGGGAGTCTGGAGCAGGGCCCAATTCTATAGGCCTCCCCCTTGAGAGGAGGGGTACCTTTGTCTAAGTGAAACAGGGGGTCATCTGAGATTACTCTGGAAGCAGGGCCCCTTAATGTGTCCAGAGAAAACGGCCATGGAGCTATTGTTTCTTGAATCAGCGTCAGAGGGGAGTGAAGTGAAGTGATCTCAATTTCCAGGGAGAAAACTAGAGTGACAGGGAGCCACCCAGCAGGCTTTGCCGGGGCAGATGTTTAAATAAACTCCTCTAGCCAGAAATGGCCCTGAAAAGCAGAAGGGTGTGTCTCTCTGGGAGGGGACCAAAGACCCTGACCCGGAGACATTGTGATGACTGAGCAGAGATAAAAGAGGAGGAGACTGAGCAGCTGTACCTCTACAACCCCATTTGAGGCTGCTGGAGAGGCTGGTGACCTCTGGCTGGAGAGCACAGTGCAGAGCTCTAGGCTTCCCCTGGGACTATCTCCAAGGTCCAGAATCAACCACAACTTCTCAGGTTACCTGAGAGCAGGGCAGGGCCAGGGCACCAGCAAAGGAGAAAGAGCTTTGCTAGCCAACCTGAAGAAGAAAGAGGTCATCAGGGACTACTAGATCATGGCAGCAGCAACCACTTGGATACTGGCACACTGAAAGATTTACAACAACTGTAAGTGACCTTGATGAGAGTGAGTTCTCAGGGCATGCCTGGAGGAGGCTTTGAATAATCTTGTCAAAGGGATCATTTTTGTCGTTTTTGTCCTATTACATTGTAAACAGAGAATTTGTAGATAGAGTAACCAAGATTTTTTCCAAGACAATTTATTGCCTAGGTAGAGGTACTGCCCTTTCTCATTCATTGGGCATTAGTGATCCAGAATCTAGGGATAACTAATGTTTTAAGAGCCTCAAAAATGTTTAAAAACTGATTAAAATTAGTATTTAATTGAATGGCTATAAAATGTAACAGTAAGCCAACTAGTGAATTGCAACTCAACCCTTACTCTTCACATGGTGATAGAAGAAAAATAACAAAAATCATTTCTCTTATAGTAGACCCCACAGATTATCCAAAGGACCAAAGCATTAAATATACACACGCATATTTAATTTGAAACAAGAGTATCCTGAAATATTTAACATAATGTGCCTGGGGACATGAAAATAAAGGTGCCAAAGAAGGACTTAAAGGACACAAAAACGATCCTGTTCTCAAGATTCTGGGTGGGCCCTATCTCAGTTTTCTGGGAATGACTTTGAATAAAAAGTACATCAAACTTGCTGGCTCTTTCTTGCTATATGCATCACTATACAAGGATTGTAGGTATTTAATTCCAGGATTCTAAAGTTTTTGGATCCTTAATGAGTATCATATAATGCAAAAATACTACAGAACTAGAAATTCACATGCAAGGTGAAAAGCTAGAGACAGAGAAATAAATGGAGCTATGGGAAGAGAAAATGAAATTACGTGTAAATAACTCACAAGTTATTAAAGAACTTTAGTGTTTTCTTCCAAATAAAAGACCTAAAATTTATAACAGTGAAAAATAATTAGCAACCAAGTTCTTTTCTTTCCACATAAATTCCAAAAACTAAATGTTATGTTAAATGTCTGGTCACAAGTGTTAGTTTATGGAAGTAAGGCCTGAGTTTGGTTCCCTTGAAGAAAATTTAAGACAAAAGGGGATAGAAAAATATGAGGAAGCCAGCTCATGAGGAGAGAAGGCCTTGGTGGACATTGGGAATGGTGGGGTATGAGCAAAATGTCCAGGGAAGCACAGAGTACCTTGCTTGGGATTCATGAAGTATATCATATTTACTAAAAAGCATAGTACCACTTTCTTGACTCTAAACAGAATAATGATTTGTGAATTATTTGCTACTGCATGTTTTAGTTGTTGTTTTTTAAAGATTTTATTTACTTATTTGTCAGAGAGAGAGACAGCACAAGCAGGCAGAGGGAGAAGCAGGCTCCTCACGAAGCAGAGAACCCGATGCGGGGCTCAATCCCAGGACCCTGGGATCATGACCTGATCCAAAGACACTTAACCAACTGAGCCGCTCAGGCGTCCCTGCTTTAGTTTTTTGATAGCTAGAACTGGAAAATGATAATACAAAACAGGTGGTGGTATGGAAGACAGTGGTGAGTCTATTGTGTGTACCCAGTCATGAAATGGGAGCATCTGTGATGTTAATTTAGAAAATTAGGAAAGAGAAATAAAATGCTGCAGTCACTAAAATATCACAGTGGGACGCTTGGTTGGCTCTTCAGATGAGCCTCACAGAGTTAGATCAAGATTCAAAGTCTAGTCCTCATCTGTGCTCATGACACTCAGAATGGCTCTTCTGATCTTTACTGCCAACCTATTAATTACAATAAATAGAACTTCCAAGTCATCCATTGAGGAGTGTAAATGGTTTTCTACAGAAAACTGGCATTGGACAGAAAAATGAGTATCAAAAATTTCTTGGTGTCTAAGGAGTTTGAACTTGAGCAATGCAAACCTGATAAATGACTGGTGGAAGCATACTGTGCACAATACCAGTGATAAAGCTGTTACTTATTTATATATTTATAAAAATCACTTATGGCAGTAATAAACTATGGCCTATAATAGTTTAGTTTTCCAATAGATATCCAGTAAGTTCGAAATCAAATCAACAAAGGTAGTTCTTTAGGGTAGTGGTATAGCACGAAGCTTTAATCCAAGCTTATTTTTTTATTTTATTTTTTTTTTAAAGATTTTATTTATTTATCTGAGACAGAGAGAATGAGAGAGACAGAGAGCACATGAGAGGGGGGAGGGTCAGAGGGAGAAGCAGGCTCCCTGCGGAGCAAGGAGCCCGATGCGGGACTCGATCCCGGGACTCCAGGATCATGACCTGAGCCGAAGGCAGTCGCTTAACCAACTGAGCCACCCAGGCGCCCAATCCAAGCTTATTGACCACTGAGTCATCTTCTACTTTGCCAAACCATCACAGTCTTACTAGCATTAGTTATAAGTCATATTTACTCTTATTCTTTACTATTACTTTATCAGTGGATAAAGTCACCAAGGAAAAGAATGGTATGTCCTAACACTGCAGAGATCAAGCCTAGGGAAGGGACTCTATGAGAATACCCTGAGGAGCTATTTGACATTCTTGGGGTGGAACCACCCCCAACTAGAATCCAGTCAAGTGTCAAAGGTCACCCAAGTACCACTCATTCCTTAATTCCCAATTGAAAATTTACTTTGATGATTCATTATAATGACTGCTTGAGCGTATTACCTGTATCCGTGCCTAACAATGACTAATCAGTGGAAAAGAGGGTGTGATATAATTTCAGGGGCTGAAAGAGCTAAAAGGCCTGGGCAGAAATTATACACAATTTTCACTGTTTCTGTCACATATCATAAAGTTAACACAGATCTACAATGAGTACAGTTTTAATTGTTCTTTAGGTTTGGAGAACACAAAATTTTGCATTAATATTTGCTTCTCCCCCCCCCACCCCCAGTCCCTAGCACATTAATGCTCACTTCCACTTTTGCTTTTAACCCTTGGTTAAGGCAGTTTTGAACTTTATGGTTATGCCGATCTTACCTTTTTTCCTGATACTCTTTGGCGCTGGTTGTATCCCTCGCATGTTTTGTGTGTTAAATACGTGAATAACACAAAGGAGTATTAATTTGAAGTGAGGGAGATCTGCTTTCCCGGTATTCAAACTCCATTCACCCTTGAATGAGTTACTTATTATTTCTGATCCTCAGTTGCTTTATCTGTAAGATGGTAATCATTTCTACCACGAAACCGTAAAGTCGCTGAGAGGATTTAAAAAGATCATGCAAGTCTGTGCTTACAGTGCTCAACACATAGTAAAATAATAAATGTTTTTCTTCCACCTCTCCTTTTCTTGGGGAGGCAGGTAAACAGTTGACCGATGCGCAGTTTAAAAAAAGTGAAAGGAACTGGGGGAGGGTCTTTAAATGATATTCGTGCCTGTACTGTCCCTCAAAACTCTTTAAATGAGTATATTCTTGCCAGCTAGAGCAAGTTTTTCTCACGAGTGCTGAGAAGTGTTCTGTTCGTTGTCACCCTTCTTTAAACTCCATGAGGAAGTCTCATGTCTTCAGACCTTGGCTTAGATACAGCATTATTCACCGACCTTTAGTCATGGGATGCCACCTGTTCTTCCGCGCTTTGCAAGCAACCTCAGCCGCCTTTAGGCGGACCCCTTCCTTCCTAGGCCTGAGACTTCCATTTGGGGCTCTTCTCCTCCACACGAAAACCGTTCCGCTGTGGCACTTCATTGGCCTACCCGGAGTTGTCTTTTATTTCTCACCTGGAGACTGTATATTTGTTTTTGTTTTAGCACTTCACAGAGTTATGAGCTCGGAACAGGGGCTCGGTACAAGTTGCACCTTGGCTTTCTGGTCTGGTACAGCCCCAAGGAAATCATACCGAGAAACGGTTGCCGCCTTTCGCACCCTACGTCTATCGATTTAAGAGGCGTTATCAGCGGGCGTTTTAGGCAAGGAAAGTTTTATGCTGGGTCGAAGGGAGGTCCCTCAAGACGAGGGAACTCCCCGTCCGCTCCCCAGTCGCGAGTGCTGCGGACGCGCCCGGCCGAGAGCCCAGTGCCTGGCACAAGCGGCGGTGGCGGCTTCCAAAACCCGGCGGCGGATCCAGGCCGGCCCGGAAGTGCCCGGCGCGGGAGGGAGGGAGGAAGAACCTTGCGAGCCCACGCCGCCGCCGCGCGCACGCGCCTTCGCTGGCTGGGGCTGGGGCTGGGGCTGGGGCTGGAGTCGCAACTCGGAAGCCGGAGCCCGGACGGGCCCGGGGCCGGGAGGGGGCCGGCGCGGGGGCGGGAGCAGCGGAGGCGGCCGCCCGTGGCGGCGGGTTTGTTTATCCCGGGGAAGAAGTTTAGGAGCGGGAGATAGGAAGGAGGGCGGGCCGGGGAGGAGGGATGCGGCTCGGTGGAGGCGGCCGCCACAGGGACTCGCCGCCATCACCTCCGCCGCCGCGGCCGCCGCAGCCGCCGCCTCAGCGGGAGAGGAGCCGCTGCCGGGACTGCCCGCCGCCGCCCCGCACGTCCGGGTAGGTGCCCCTCCCGCTCCGAGGTCCCTTCCGCACCTTGGTCGCTTGCTCCTCCAACCCCCAGCCCTTCCAACTCGCCTGCGCTGGAGCGGGGCGGCCTCCTGCTCACACGCTGCGCCCCCCTTCCTCCTGGCTCGGGACCCCTGCTCCTGCGGCGTGTCTTCCCTTTCTCAGGGTTGCCTTCCGCCCCCGCCTCTCAGCACCCGCCCCCGGCCCGTCTTCCCCTCGTCGGTCTCGGCTTGTCCCTGGTGATGCCCCCCCTTATCGATTTCCCAGCCTCCGCCTACCAGGATCCCCCAGACTTTCCTCCACAAGCCTCGCCCCTTTTCCTTCTCCCGTCTCCCTCCTTTATACCTGTCTATCTCCACGCCGCCCCTTTATACCTGGTCTGTTTTCTTTCCCTCCCGGAGTACTGCTCAAAGAGGGAAGCCCCTTCTTCCCCCTGCCCCGCAGCGTCCCCGTCCACATCTCTCATCCCAACCATATGTATGTGTGAAGTTATGCCTATAAGCGCTTTTTAAGGTGAATTCTCTGCTCTCCAGCCAGACCACTCAGTGTTCACTGCGGTGTTCATGCCCTCAACCTACCTCCCTACCTTGAAGCACGTATTGCCCTCTCACAAATTCTCTGTCACGTTCACCAGGTAACATCAAACTGGCTCTGCGGTGCAGGGTCCAGATGTTCACTTTCCCCTTTGATTCCCTTGTGCTATCCTTTCTCCTAACTCCTCTTCCTTTCGAGTCTATGTGTACTAAATAAAGGGGAGAGGATGGTCTAGTTTTCTTCCTCAGAGCAGGAGATCCAGTAGAAATAAGATTTACCTTTTGCTTATCCTAACTTCTGGCCTCTTGGTGAGTTGTGTCATTCAGCCAGACTTTTGAGGCTTTTGATGCTTTGTCTGTACTTGAATAATCTTGGGCCTAGATTGTTCCATTATAATACTTGTCTTCCCAGTTTTTCCTTGCAGCTGAATCCACTGTTTCTTAGACAGGAAATTTAAGTAATAACAGGTTTATACCTTGGAAAATTACATCTCTGCTGCCGTAATGGGAAAGCTGGAATATTTGAAATTATCATCCTGTTATTCTTGGGAGAAATGGTGCCTAGTGGTTAAGAGCCCAGATGTAGCTGAACTGCCAGGATCTAAAGCCCTGCTTTGCCATCTACCCAGCTCTGGCCTTGGGCAAGTTATTTAATCTCTGCCTCAGTATTCTTACAACTCTAAAATGGGGATAGTGGTATTCTTGGTAAGATGGTGGTGATAATTGCATAACTTATTGCAGGTAAAATACATCAGTTCTTGGCACCTGGTAAGCGTTCAGTAAATGTTCTTTATCATCATCTTCTTAGCTTGAGTTCTTTTGGCTATTGGTAGGTTGATTTTGAGGAAGGAAGGTGGGAATAGAAGGCTGCTTTTTGCTCTTTTTCATTTAACATCTTTTTTGATGTAGTTATTATTTCTATTTTGTTACTGTATAAATTAATTCCTTCTGGTGTGAAAAGTACAGAGTTTTAGCTCCCTCTTTAAGGGTAAGTTACTAGGCTACATGCAGGTCAGTCCCAGCTTCGATGTTTTTAAAATGTTGTATTTGTTTTGAGAATAAATGAAATTGAAATATGTAGCAAATTTATCATAGTGGAAAATGAGGGTTTTACTGATAAGAATTTTAGTATACTGCAAATTAAATACTGAAAACTGTTCACACCTATCAGTCCTTTATGTTGAATTGGTATTGAAGAGCTTGGCTTCATTCAGAAGACTAGTGGCTTTTTTCTCTTAACATGTTTATTAACACGGCCATGCCTTGATGTTTCCCAAATTTTACTCACTCTTTAAAACCCTGACAGGGCGCCTGGGTGGCTCAGTTGGTTAAGCGACTGCTTTCTGCTCAGGTCATGATCCTGGAGTCCCAGGATCGAGTCCCACATCGGGCTCCCTGCTCAGCGAGGGGTCTGCTTCTCCCTCTGCCCTCTTCCCTCTCGTGCTCTCTGTCTCTCATTCTGTCTCTCAAATAAATAAATAAAATCTTAAAAAAAAAAAATAAATACAACTTTGACAATTTTTGTCATATTTGCTTACCTCCTGTGCACTATTATTTTCTTGATACTTTTTTTTATAACAACTCAGTTACAATCCAAATAGGTATAGTTTAGTATTGTTATAAAATAGTGACATATGTACTGTCAAAATAAAGGAGTTTGCCCATGTATAGCTTTAAAGGAAAAACAAAAACAAAAAAATCATATTTTATGTCACCATTGGAATGTACTCCAAACTTTGAATGACAGTGACTTTGCCCATGCTGTTCTCTGGCCTAAAATAACCTCTGCTCTTTTCCCCACATATCCAGATTCTACCTGTCTTTCACATAGTTTCTGCCAGCACTGTTTTTTTTTTTTTGTCTCTTGGTTTTCCTGCTGTCTGTATTCTGCATTTTTGGCTTTGAATAACAGAAGCCCTGGTTCAAGAAAAATGACTCCCCTAGAATAAGACTTTGGAAGTTTATAGGAACTTGGAAGGGCTGGAATGAAATGGACACTTAGCATTTACTCTGTGCTAAGCACTCTTGCTTTGGTTTTGTACCTATTCGTTCTTTCTAGAAATATTTAATGAGCACTTACTTCATGCCAGGCATTGACGATACACAAGAGCAGCCCTTCTGAGCCAAGAGTTCTAGTGACTATCAAGCCCTAATGCTCTAAGGCATCCAAGGTATGTAATGAATTAACTCCTCTCCTCCTAAAATGGTACTGGCTAGGTACCTTGGGAGAGAGAACTGAGGAAATAATCCCCTAACTCAGTTTCTATAGGGCTTAATTCTCATAGAACCCTGGCTAAGTTCCATCAGAGAAGAATAGTATGGACTCTGCTTTTTTGTAATTTATTTTAATGTGGCACTGACAGACAATAAGCAAGTAGGCAGATAAAATTACTTTATAAGAGAGTACTGGTAATATTAAAGATAATGATAACCACTAACACTTATAAAACACTGTGCCAGGCACTGTTTCAAATAATTTAATATCTTGTTTAATCCTCATAACAATCCCTTGAAGAAGGCTTTATTGCATCTCTGTTTCACAGATAAGGAAACTAAGAAATTACTTAACTTCCACAAAACCACACAGCTTTGTAAGCAGTGGAACCAGATGATATTGTTGTAGTCTGTTACCTTTGGTTGCTTCTCAAATCTTCCAGTTCCTTGTTGGTTACTTTAGACAAAGTTCTTCACCTTTCTGGGGAAGGAAAAAATAATAATTTTGACAGTGAGGTTTCCCTGTCTTTTTAGGTTGTTGAGGGAAGTAAAGGAGATGTAACTTTTTTAAAGCATGGGGTACACAGACTTATCCCAAATCTTATACATGACTAGATATTGAAGACACATTTTTTGTGGTCCTACTAACCATTATGTTTCCTGACATAGATTTATTCACTTACCAAAAGTTTACTGAACAACTGATATGTGCCAGGCACTGTGCTAGGCTCTGGTGTTGTATGTTATGTAAGGAATTACTTGTATTCATGGAGGCAAAAGCTATTGGAATAAAGAAACTAAACAGCTAATTACAAAAATAATAATTACAATTATGATTACTGCCACAAAGGAAAATTATTTTAAGCAGTGAAAGTCCACTAATGTAACAGGGAATGCTTCTCTGAAGAAATGACTTTTAGGCTAAATCTAAAGGATTAACTGAAGTTACCCAAGTGATGTTGGCAGTTTCAGCTTTCTAGAACTGAGAAGTCCTGTAGAGGCTGGACCTTAGCACATGAAGCTGGCTGATGCAAAATGAGACCAGAGCAGATCACAATGGTCAATCATTGCTAAGCATTTTGTACTTAAATCCTGGCAATGGGAAGCCACTGGATAATGTTAAAAAGCGGAATAAGTTACTTAAATTTTTACTTTAAAAATATCACTTGACTGCTCTGCAGAGGATACACTGGAGAAAGGCAAGTGTAAATGCAAGGAGACCAGTTAGGCAAGTGCTTCTCAAACTTATCTGTGGAGAAGGACCTGTTTTGGTTTGTTTCGTTTGGTTTGGTTTCTAATCTGTACTGGTACTTTAGTGACACAGAATAAAATGGATGTTGTGGCAGTTGTCAGATTGCTATAAAAATTTCTAAATACTGCTTTCAGTTTCTGTATTTACCTTGTCTCAGACCAGTAACAGTAGTGCATGGATGACTGTTGGTCTACAGGACCACACCTTTGAGTAGAATTGAGTTCAGCTGTTATAGTAGTTTAGGCAAGAGATGATGGAATCTTGGTCCAGGATGGCAGCAATAGAAAGTAGCTGGATTGGGGGGAAGTTAAATTGATAGGATTTGGTGATGAGTTAGAGTAGGGGGTCTAGAGAGAGGAAAAGGCAGGTTCCCAGGATTGGTGGTTCTTGTGCCTAACATAGCCTAACATAGGGAATACTGGGGAGAGGAGCAGTTTTTTGTTTGTTAGTTTCTGGGAAGTGAAGAGAGTATTGATCATAATTCAGGTGGGAATCCTCAGTATATGGCTTACAGTTGAAATCTTAGTGTGGGAGGTGGCGGATGGGATTGCCCAGAGAGAGAGGGTAAAGGGATATAATAATTCCCTATGAATTTTCAACATTTAAACATTGGGAAAAAGAAATGTAGCAAAGGAGACTGAGAAGGTGTAGCCAGAGTTGGGAAGAAATTTTCCTTGACATCACTGAAGCCAAGGCAATAGACTATTTGAAAAAGGAGTGGGTAATCAACTATGTCAACTATGTTGAATGAAGCTGAGAACTCAATTAAGTTGGCAACTAAAAAGTACTCTTTGGCTTGAGCAACATGAAGGAAATTTTATTATATTATTCACTTACTTATGGGGGGAGGAGCAGAGAGAGACAGAGAGAGAGAATCTTTCTTTCTTTCTTTCTTTCTTTCTTTCTTTCTTTCTTTCTTTCTTTCTTTCTTTCTTTATTCATGAGAGACAGAGAGAGAGAGAGAGAGAGAGGCAGAGGGAGAAGCAGGCTCC